AAATGTGGTTATTTATATGAAATAATTCTGAGCTATTCTGGGCTTTTGTTTTGCCAAATCATGATGATTATGGAAATAAAAGCTGTTCTCCCACTCTCTCTTGCTGAATTCAGGTTTCTGAACAAAACTGTGGTGGAGAATACCCATCCTGATTTGGGTCAATTAAGAGCAGAACTCTGCATCTGTAGCTTATCTCAAGTCCTATTGCTTTCAGAAAGATCCTGTTTGATTTGGTGAAAAGAAGTGTTGATGTCACTGGATATGTTCTATGTAAAAGCTTCCAGTACTCACACCCTCTGATGGAAAGATGAAGGAATAGGCGGTAGAGCAGAAGAAAGGACCTCTATTATGCATATATACATAGCTACTACCCTGACCAGTCTGAAAGCCCAACTGGCTTTCAGAGGCAGCAGACCTGTATGTTTGTGTGCACGTGTGCATGTTTTATAAATGGTTTGATCTTACCTGAGCATCTGTGACTCTGGTGACATCCCCATTTGTTCATATTTCTGTAGGTTCCTCGGTAAACTCACTGGATAGATGACAGTTCATTAAATTAGTTGACAATGCACATCCAGCCTTTCCACCCTCCTCCCCTAGCCCTAAAATGAAAATAAAGGAATTACAATGGCAAGAGGGAAAAATACTATGCAAATAGCTCTGAAAGCACTGACACATTTAAACTAATGCAGTTCCTAGAATCATAACAATAAATGTGCTGTCAGGGGCATCACAGTTACTCCAGTGACATGACCACCTTGCAACAGCACCAGTGCAAGCTGGTTATCTGAGTAGTCCTGAAATATTTTTTCTATCTGTAACTTTTCACAGTCATCATGCTTAAAAAGAGCCCTTTTCCCCTTACAACTCTTCAGGTGGCTTTTAGATACCTGTGTACACCACCTTGCAAAAGAAGCAAGGAACAAACTTTCCAGAGGTGGCAGTTGCTGAGATCAGTTGTTTTAGGAAATGTTCTTTGATGAAATGACAAAGTTTGCCCAACTTCTGCATCGCAAGCAGTTTTCCCTCAAATATTACAAAAATAGTAACTAGGCCAACCCCAAAGAACTCTTTTGAAAGGGCTCAACCCTTTCAAGCAGTTGTTTTTGTTTCTTAAACTTGCTACAAATAATGATTTACAAAATCCATTCCCCAGAGCTAAACAAATGCAACAGCATCACTACAAAAAAAATGCCCATGAAACAGCTTTTCCATCATTTTCTTTAACGCACAAACTTTCTCGTTCAACTGGGAGCCTTAGAGTCTATTCATTTTGCCCATCTACTCTGTGCTCTGATGCAATGTATAGGCAGTATAGTTGAGATTTAAAAAGCCTTTATAACAACTCAGAAAAGCCCCTCAGAAGACCCTTCTTAGAATTAGTGTCTTTAGTTAATATTGGTTAACATTTATTTGGAACAGGCATGTCATTCTTCCAATCTCCATTTAAATTCTGTTTTCCTCTCAGTTGGCATCTGTACCCTTAGCTACCTCATAAATAAAATGCATTGCCAACTGGAACACGCGAGCAGAGCTGAAAGCAGCACCGCTAACCTCTGCTCCTTTCTACCCCCTGCAAGTTGGAGACATATCAAACTCAGTGCCTGGGGCCTGGGAAGTGGGAATCCTGAACTGCTCGGAAACTCAAAGACCCAGACTCCAGCCTATTAAGCTATTGGGCTGGCTCACTAAGCTATAACTGTGCATACATTTTTTTGGTGGGTTTTTTTGTTTGTTTATCAGCTGAGCAAGCCAGATTCACATACTCTTACTTCAGCTGAGTGTAAAGTAAAGAGATGTGCTGAAAACTGTGCAACCAATTAGACAGTTTTACTCAGCATTACTAAGGCAACCAAAATCTGATCTAGAATGACTAGCCCAGTAGTTCTAATTTCTAACTGGACATACGGAGGAGAAAAGATTAGGGCACTCAGAGCTGCTAGTAGATTTTGGCTATGGGCAGCACTGTCTTGATTTTACACGCCCAAAATTTGTGTTTTTAGAGACTGCATACTCAGCAATAACAAAATAAAATACGGAAGCTGGAAATCTTTGTCACAGGTCAGGGAGACACCATAAAGAAAGCCAATGGATGAAGGAGAAATGCAGAGACCGCGTGAGCAGCAGGTGGGAAGGCTCCTGCTCCCCTCCCCTGCCATGACCCAGCCCTCCTCGCACCTGCAGTGGCCACCACCAGAGTCAGCACAGGGTGATGGGTGCCTGGGGCGGCAGCTCTTGTAGCATGGCTTCTCCCTGCTTTTCACCACAGAGACCAAACACGCTGGCCCTGCGCCTTTTTTCAGGACTTATGCAGGTGTAATCAACGATGGCTCTTCCCTTTTTAGGGACAACCACTGTGTGTGGATGACTGTGTAATCAAAACCGTATTTGACCTTTTTTTCCCCTTCAGTTATGAGGTTGAGGCTTTTTGCCTTGACTTTTCTACACTGGTAAAGGTTTCTGTCCTCAGTTTGTAAGGCAGAAAGTCTAGCCACACGACACCAACAAGTTACATGTTGCTAGTCTGGGGAAAGAAAGTACACATTTAAAAGAATCAGCAGCCCAGGTAGGATATAATGTGACTGACGAGTTTCACTGTAACAGTGTAGAGTACAAAAACGAAAATATAAAGTGCATTTTAAATGATTAATGTACAAAAGCTGACCTCTTCCAGTGTGCATTAATCAAGAAAAAATGCACACTTTCTACAGTGGTTAATGTTGCAGGTCCATTATTCGGCTTTGATAATGTGCATAAAAATGCTCAATATGACAATGAGTTGGGGTAGCTGAGAATTTAGGATGGTGGCAAGTTTGTTGTAGTATTTGGATTAGCATTCTTAACCTACATCTTGACAGCCTCTTTTCTTCATTTCACAAGCATTAATAAAATCTAGCTTTATCCTCTTTGATTTTTAGGTTTTTTTCTTGTTTTTTAGTTATTTTTTTTTAAACAAAGCAATTAAAAAATACCTGCTCAAACAAATACTACCAGCATTCATTAGTCAGGATGGTTATATGTAAAAGAAATGATGCCAGATAGTAACAAATCCAAGAGAAGTTTATTATGAAAATGGCACCTGCGGGATGAAAAAAAATTAAGTTACATAAAGACAACCATGTATGACATGTATGAGAATCTACAAAAGTATAAAAAGAACCCTGTTGTAAATGAAGTATGTACATTTCTGATTTGCAGCATTATCAATGATCAATGAAAAAAATGTTTCAAATAAGCCAGGCACTCAAGAAGTTAGATTCGGTTAGCTTAACACAAAATAAATGTACCATAGCTGTCACTTTTTAACATTTTAATTTTTTTTTATATTGTAGAGTTGGTAACACGGCTAAGATTTATACGAACAGAATCCCTTTCCCCATTATTCAGCTACTTGGCACCAGTCTCCTCATAAAAGATTTCATATATTTGTACAAGAAATAGTTAAAAACACAGACACAGTCTTCACAGGTAATGAAGTTTTTTTTTCATTTTGTAATTTTAAACACTATGGATTTAGACAGCAGCTGTGATTATCTGTTAGTTTAAATCACCAGAAATCATTTTGACACAACACAGAAACATTTATAAAAAAAAACCCAAAACAACAACAGCTGTCTAGCTGTTCTTTTAGCTGATAGGTGCACTCCTTTGATTGTTCCATAGCTAGAGTAGAGCTTCCAAAATTAAACTTTGAATTTCCCAATCAGCTTTCTCGCCTTTTTAGACCTACTTAAATCCTTCCAATGGGACCTTTAAAAGCTCATTAATTACATTTGTGGCATCCAATTCCTTTTTCGCTATTACTCTGCTGTGGCTTGGACCTACTTTTCAAATTCAAAGCTACCGCAGGAATTGACTCAATGCAGCGAGTGATCAAAAATTCAAAGGAGAGCTGAGTTAATATATTAGCATTGCACACATAAGCAAATATATATGACAATTCTAAGCTCAGTTTCCTTTTTAAACAATGCTGGTCAACCTTTGAAAGCATTTCCTATCCCACTGGCAATTGCTCTACGTATTACTCCGCCAGCCTACCTGGGAGAAAACCAAAGAAATGCACCCTCCGCTTACAGTTCGAGCACAAGGGACTCTGGGAATGTTAACAACTGAGGCTACATGGCGTCAATTTGCTTAATATATCTGAGCATTACTCTGTAGTGCATTGTGGGGTACACTGGAAGAGTAAGTCATACCCAGAATTCCTCTGTGGGAAAAATGGCTCCATTAACCTTGAGCTAGTTAAGAGTCTTTTATCTCTGAGAGTGAAGAAAAGAGAACGAGAGAGCAAGAGAAAGAGAGACGGGAAAAGTGTGGAGGGGAGGGCGAGAGGAAGGAGGAGAGAGTTGAGGATACACAACAGCAAAGCAACAGCAGAAATTAAAAGGTATACAGACAGTGGAAGCAGCATAAGGTGACATTACAGAGGAAGGCCACCACACAAAAACCACTAACCCCCAAGAATCACTGGTTCACTAGGACTGCAGGAATGGGACTTTACCACTCCGGACTAGAGATAAAGCACAGAGAAGACAAAGGACAAAACAACTACATTAGCTTAGTATATACTGCATATAGTAACACACATTGAAACTGCAATGGGACTGACAGCCAAGGACACTTACACATTGTACACATTACAGTTCTCACATCTGTTATTAGATGCCTTAACAAACAGCTGCCAAAGATGGAGTGGAAGAAGAATTTATATTTGACAGTCATTTGGAGTGTTTGACACTACACTGTGATTTCTGGCAACAAAGACAAAATAGGAGATTTCTTTTCTTTTACTTAATGTGCAGTTTTCAGTTGTAGTTATCTATTTCAAGCTTATTAACCCATTCTTTAGTTTTAAAACATATTGGTTTCAACACTAAAAATAAGGAAAAAACGAACAAAAAAATACCCAAATCAAAGAACAAAAAGAAATTTACAACCTTCCCTCTATAATATTAAATGAAAAACAAAACAAAACATGTTAAATAGTTCTTCTGGTTTTCTTTTTTTACTCTGAAGTGTTATTTGACATTGTAAAATTAGCCTCAGTCACACTGAGAAAAAAAATAAAGCAAAATAATATGCACCTAAGAAACTGCTCCTCGCGTCAATTAAATTGAGTTTTTTTTTTTTTGTTTTTAAGCACTTTTTGAAAAAGGCTTCCTGACCCATTTAAATTTGATGTGAGGCTATGCTTGTTAGTTTGGAGGTAAAAAATTTTAAGTCCTGCAGCAAATGTTAATGAGGGCTTTTGTCTTAACTAACCAAGGAGACTGCAGCACCCGACTATAAACCAGTACGGAACACATTCTTTCCAAAAAACCAGCCCACAAGCTGCATATTGTATGAAGACATTACAGATTAATAAATGATAGCACCATGGTTTTAGAAATTAAGTTAAAGTTTCAGTAATTAACATTTAGTCCAACTTTTTAACATTCTAGTCACAGGCCAGAAATTAACTTTTTAAGAACCCAAATTATTTTATGTGCAAGTAAGAAAATCTTAACCATAAAAAGAGAATTAAACTCTGCATAAAATTCTAAAATACTATCCCCTATTTTTAAAGGAATTAGGAACAAAAACCCCTTTTCATTTGACTTAGTCAAACAGGGCACATTGTTTATGCTTGTCTCTTTTAATCTTGATCATATCAAGATCATTTTGAAGTAAAACCAATGGTTGTCACTTTAAAATCTCTTTACCACAACACTGAGTATTCTATGGCAGAGGCATACACATATTAAAGGCATCTTAATAAAGATGCAAAGGAAAAAACACACATCTTAGAAGAAGACAAAATGGCAGGCAACTGGTACTTCGACTCTCTGAAGGCAAAAATAAAAAAATATCTTTACATTAAAGAATAAGTCAAGTTAAAGAGAAAGGGAATGAAATGGGGACCATCATATTGAGAGAATAAGCTGACCTGCTCAAATTCAAAGTGCTAGAATTAAAGGTCTAAATTAAAACATAGTCTATGCCTCAGAGTATAACACTGAACACAGTATGTGGTCATATTTCAATCCTCTTTCCGTTCCAGAGTCTGTGTAGTGTGAATGCCATTGCTGTACACAGGAAATGGAAGAGTGGAAAAAAGTCCTTCGGCAGTTGTGAACACATTCCCTGCAGGCATTTGGGTCAGACTGGCCCCGCTCACAGCACTTCCAAACGGTCCCGACATATTGAGTCGGTGAACGTGGTGGTAGAGCATTTCCATCGGTGTTTTAGGATCCAGCCCAAAGCTGGGGCTGTTAACATCAACAAAGTTAACAGCATGGGTGTTGGGGAGGAGGTTGCCCTGCATGGCTAAAGTAACTTCAGCTGGAGCATACCGAATAGTGCCAGTGGTGTAGACCCTCTGAGCAGCAGTGCTGGTCGCAGCAAGGGTTCCCGTTACCCTGTGAACCAAAGGAAGCACCACATTGCCTGCTTGTAACCTCTGAAGGGCTTCCAGGTCCCCAGTGTACAACAAAGAGTTGGAAGTTGTGGGACCTCCTGGATGTTTGTCCCGTGGAGATGCTGAAAGTGGGGGTGACAAAGGGTCAGAGGACACAGGAGCCAAGGCCGAGTTGGACGAGGTGCTGAACTGAGTTTTACGGCTGGCAGTATTTTCAGTCCCTGGTGGGGTGAGAACGGAGTCTGGAATGGAGACATGTAAACTACTGCTGGCTTGGGGGGAAGGGAAGTGCTCGGAGCTGGGGGGCTTGGTCATACTGTAGGGTGATTCGTTCCTTGAGATTTCCCTGTTAGGTGGGTAATTCCAAATACTGCTATCATTATCAAAATTGATAGGTTCTGAGATTTCTGTTTTAATTTTGAGCACTGAGGCACTGTTTGGTGACGAAAGCAGCTGGGGCTGGTCCACCAAAGCTGAGTCAAGTCCGTTTGGACTTGAGGTGCTTGACAGCCTTCTCCGGATCATGCTGCCTCCCTTTTGCTTTTTTCTCCTCTTCTTCCTCTTTTGATGTTTGCTGGAAGACTGGGCATTTACTTCCCCTGCACTGTCTGAGTCCTTGGCACTGTCTGAGGTCAGTGATTCACAGTTCTGCAACCGCAAGTCTGACTCACTCTCAACATAGCGCTCCACCTTGATCTGCATAGAGCCAAGAGTGCCAAAACTGTCCTCAGGGGCCTTTTGATTCTCGAAGTCAGAATTTTCAAAGCTGTCGTCACTGTCCCTGCTGTCCTGGTTGCTGGAGCTGTTCCCATCATCATTACAGTTCATTTCGTTATCCGACTGATTTCCTGACTTTTTCCTGTCGGATTCAGGGTCTTCGCTGTTTTCTGACTGGTTTCCTTTCTCATCCGACTTTGAGTTCTCATTGTCCTCTGGAGCAAAAGGAAAGTGAAACAAACCATTAGCAACAGGAACATATTATTATAACCCAAGTCCAGACTTCTACCTGACAATGAGATTTGATTGCTGTAAACTTTCTTTGGCAAAAGGTGTTCTCTTTTGTAGAGCCACAACTTTTTGCAACGTTGTGTCAGGAGAGTTTTGATCACCATAAATCTCTCTGACGCAGGACTGTTAATGCGCTAAAAGCCTATGCTATATGGCCTGCGCCTTGATTGAGGGCGGTCTTTTAACCTGCTACCTGGACAGAAATCATTTTGACTACTGTGAGCACAACAGCATTGTAGCTGTGTCATCCAAAGAGGAGTCAGTGAACAAACCCATTATAATCGTTATGTTCTGGTGACTGTTCTTTCACATCCATGTTCTCCTACACGAGGCAGGCATCCAGGTGTAGCACTATTTACTAACGAAGATTCTAGACCTCTCATCTCATTTTCCTCTCACTATTGCCACTTCCGAAGTGGCATAGTGTCTCTGACTTCAGTGGAATTACTGCCAATTTCCTCCTGTGTGAGAGGAGAAGCAGGTCATACGTGTATAAATCTGAATGAATAAACCAGTTAAAACAATTTTGTTATGTTGCTAGACTGTCTTCTCATATTACCCTGAAGGGCAACAAATAATAAAAAAAAACAAACCAGGAAAAAAATTCAGTCAGCGGATTAAATTCTTGATTGATCCAAATCATCTAAGGGCCACTGAAAATAGCCCAGCTACAGCACTGAGAAGCTGTCACTCTTCTTGCCTGAATTAATTTAGTTGTGTTTTAGATTTTTACCTAATTCTAACATGGATGAGATAAACACTCTAGGCCACTGGACTCAGACAGCAAAAGCAGCGTTGAGACTGAATACGCTCCATTATCATACCATGTTTGAAAGGGTCATGAAAGGCTTCAGGACACCCTGTCTTTTACAGACCAGCCAGAAATCTTTTGTTGGGAAATAAAAGATGTTTTTTCACTCATCAGAGCCAAGTACTACCCTTTTCAATATACTCATTTTAGGGGGAGAGGGGAAGGGTCAGTTTTCCTCTAAAGATTGGTTATTCCTGGAGCCATGTCAATACCAGTTTCCCAGAAGTGCTGGAGAAGGTGGGCTTGACAGGGAAGCTGCCTGAGGATTCAGGGCAATGCACTTCACAAGTCATTTAGCAGGACTTTTGCTTGAGTCACCAGCTTAAGAGAGACCCTCCCATTTGGAAAATAAACCCCACAAAAGCAAAGTAACAGCCACAAACCCCTAAATCTCAAGCTTTTTGTTCCACCTAGGGCTGAATTTCTCCTCCTTTTTTTTTTTTTTTTTTTTTTTTTTTTGAAGATGCTTTCTTGTAAGGCCACGGTTTCTAGCTGGTCAAGAGTGGGCTTAGGGTGAGGTAGTCTAAAATTGCATAAAATTTGCCTGGGATTTTAGTAGAGCTTGAACTGAATTTGTTTTCATCCAAGGTGGTGTTCTAATTTCAGGTCCTTTGGCATTTTTGTTCAGTTCTTTTGTAAGAAACAACCCCCTGCCTCTTCTGTCTTCCAAGACTCCCAGATGTCTCCTTCTGAGATGTACATATCTGTGCACCTTTGAAGAATGCTCTCTTGCTCTGCATCAGCCTTAGGAATCATGAATGCACATGCACTTCTCACCTGGAGAAACTGACAGCACACATGGGAAATGCAAACTGTTCTCCACATGTGTGTTACTTGGCTAATTAGGAACAAGACAGCATAAACGAAGCACTGGGAATGGGTGAAGAGATTCCCAGTGATGGTGGGCAACAAGCCTGTATGTGTGCCTAATGTTGACAAACCATCAAATCAAGCTGTCAAAGGAGAACAAATAAAGGCAAAAGATGAAAGACAACAGTCATATCATATAATACAACATTAAGGCCTGATCCTCTTCTAGCTCTTGCTTGATTTACGTCACTGTGATTCACTTTCTCCAGATTTTTTTGGTTGTTATCATAGACACAAGAGAAAAATCACATATATACTTTGCATACTACAGCAGAGTAACATCCTTAGTTCTAGGGCCACAGGAAACCATGCTCCTTTCAAAGCCACATAATCTGTACCTTTGCCTCGGTAACCACTTTTAAAACTAATAGGGAATGTATGAACCATCTGTCACTGGACTATCTGTAGGACTATTTTACATGTTGAGTTTGACAAGTACATCTAGCTTTTAAAAAGCAGCTGAATTTCCAGATGTAAAAAAGCTTAGAAACAAATGCTTGAACCCGCACCTTCTAATAGAATACAATTCTTTCAACCCAAGAAAACCCACAAATTTTGCAATCTTTACTGGCCCCTAGTGAACCTCTTCAAAAAAGTATTTATACAGGAAAAAGGGTCATAAAGATTGACAGTAGACACTTATCTTCAGAATGTATGCCTACTCTGGAAGGATAAGAACTAGGATTATACTCAACAGTTACAATCCCAGGTCCTCTGCACAAAGCACAATACCTGCTCATGAAGCTGGGAAATCAAATATTTAGTTCAGTCCAATGTAGGCAAGAACGCATGCACAGAATGAAGAGAAATACTGAGGAAATGGGGATATTGTGGAAATGCTGAGGTCATTAAAAGATTTTGTTAGTGTTTTTCAATTTAATTTTACAGGTTGTTTTTAGTTGTTTGGGTTTCTTTTTTCTTTTTTTTCTGTTTTTTTCTTAAAAAGGAGCAATCCTTGAGAAGTAGAAGCAACTGGAAAGCCAGCCACGTGGCTTTCATGATATAAACATTTTGTGGTGTAAAGGCACACCATGTGTGCTACCTGAGTTGTCCTTTGAGTCCGATTCAGAGTCAGAGGTCTCCGAGGATTCCGAGGTTTTCTCTGGCAGATGAGGAAGTTGTGCAATATCCATTGGAGTGTCCTTGTACTCTGGGTTGCTGAAGAAGAGACAGCAAATATAAACACAACTGGATGATTTGCAGTTTCATGGTTTTTCTCTCTTTTCATATCGAAGTTCAGGAACAAAGAACATAAATCGAAAGAATAGCAGAGCAAACACAGAAACATACATTTTTGGTTCCTCAGAGCTTCGCAGCAGGGGTTTTATCAAGGTTTATTTTAATATTGCTGTCAAATACTTATATTGACCAGGTACTAAAACTCGTTTGATTCTAGTGAAGTTTTAGAGCTATCAAAGCATTCTTACTGAAGTGGGACACCATGGCTTGTGTAATATCTAACAGTAAAGCTACACTGTGTAATCATCCAACAACAAAATACCTCGATTTCGATCCCATTACTGTGCCTAGAAGGACAGAGAGGGTGTTTTAACTTTTCCAATCTGTTTCTCTCCCACTGGCAATGTCTATTAGAGTTATCTCTGTAACAATGTTCTCTATCAACCTTGCCAGAGCCCTTTCAATACCCGTTTTTCTCAACGTTCCTGTCTTCCACACTTTAATCAAGCAGACCATACATAAAGTTAGTAAGAAGGCACTCGGTTAGGGCTAGAGAGAATGGCCACTGCTAAAAAGAATTTGGCCAAAAAATAGATAAAAAAGGTTATATATTTTTTTAAACACTGCACACATGCATCCACATCACCAAGAAACCAAAAGCAAACACTCTGAGTATATGACAGATGCACATGTGCATGTTAAGATGCATATGTTAGGGATAAAGAACTGTCAACACACCCATTATAATCATATCTTCATCTGCTCATGTGGTGCTCACCTGTGACTTGTTAGCAATGAACATGACTGCAATGTAAAAAAGCTACACTACCAGTGAAACTGAAAAAAATCCCCCCAACCCTAAGCTTTTTCTTGGTTTGTACCTTTTAAAATGTGCTTGTTTCCCATATCCATGCAAAGGCAGGGGAAGAGACACAGCTAGACCTAAGTGGCATAGGAATGTTGAAAATAAACAAGGTCTTTAACCATTTTTGAACAGGTGAGCATTTCTGTGCAGTTCAAATTCCAGCCTGGTGATAGAGCAGAAAATCCGCAGTCCTGCGTAGAACAATACGAGGCAGCACTGGGGGTGACTGACACACTATCACAATGACAGTGTGCCCATATTCAGCCTATTGCCGTGTACTGTGAAAATTCAGAGTTCACACAGTTCACATTGAAATGCCATTCTTACGATTATCATCTTTATGGTTTTGTCCTGACAAAGTGACTTTATTCTGTTGCATCCCAGGGTAGTCCCCAAATTTGCCCCCTTCAAGCAAAAGATGTTTGAGGGCTTTCACACTGTGAATAACAAGTTGCTAGAACAAAACAGCATTAATCCTCCCTGTCACTATAATTAGTCTATCCTTTTACAGACAGCTGAATCATACTTTCTAATGCATGGAAATGTATACAGACCAGTACTCCTGCTAAGAGTAGACCTAATTATGCCTTGATCTGTCATTAAAATATTATTTGGACATTTGGATCTTTTGTGGATTCCAGTACTAGGAGAAATCTAAATTAAAAATACAAATTCAGTGGAGAAATTAATCTTTCTCTAACAGACTGGTGAAGGGAATGCAGCAGAAAAATCGAGTTCTGGGTGAAGACTTCAGGAAGATCACACTGCTTTTCTCTTTCTGTCGGTGGAGGAAATAATTTTGTGGGACATTTGTGGACTAGGTTCACCTGTTGTCTGGAAAACAGCAAAGGGGACAGAGGCAACTGTTCATAATTCTCATGGACCACTTTTCCAGCTAGAATATGAGCACATTTCTGGGCGTTTTGAAGCCCTGTTAGGACTGGGGCAGTGAAGCTGCACTTCCAGTTCAGAATTGGCAGGCTTAAGCTGACTGAAATGCTGCATTCTGCCTCACTTGTAAAAAGAGACAAAAAAGTAGCAGGATAAGGATATATTCAGAAATGCCCGTGCTCAATCATAGCAGGACAGAAATATGCAAGCCCCAATGAACATTCCACTGCTGTGGAAGGTTTCCCACAGTATCCCTCAATGCTCTCCTGGCAGGGGTTGTTTGCCCCTCTTCCCCAAAAGAGGAATCAAAATATTTCAACATGCAAGTTTAGGCAGGCACAGTCTCTTAAGGGCTTGCTGGACTTGGCATAATAAGTCACAATCTAACCCCTAGACATCACTTTGAACTCCAATGGCATCAAAGGGAATGTAACAAACCATGACAAGGAACTTAAAAGGAGAATAGGCCAGAAAATAAGAATTGCATTTCATAACAATCTCAAGGTTTCAAATGTTATTTTTTTGTTGTTGTGGTGTTGTGGTTTTTTTTTCCCTGCTCTGGAATGAAACAGAAAATCCCCCAGTCTTACTGAATATTTTCACAAAACAGAATGCATTGAAAGGTATTTTCAGAAGAGAAAGGTCAGGTTTGTAATTCACTGTCTCCCAGTGACTGTTGGTCTTCACCTGAGTTCAGAAACCAGTCCATTAAAGATACTTGGGCTTTCGTAAAACAGAATTTCTCAGGGAATAGCCTTTCATTCAAGATACTACTATCTCAGTTTAAAATAGTTTTAATTGCTATTTTTACTTTTAAATCCTATTTTGCATTTTTCAGTATGAATACTGTCTGATGATTACCAGAGCAACATATTAGTTCAAGGCTTTCCTCCTGAGAAAATTCGTCTGTTTGGAGTGAGCTGGCAAACACCTTTCAGAGAGACCCTTTTGTAGCATTCCAGAAGTTTGTTTCCCTGCTTTTTCAATAACCAAATAAACCAGCGCCAAACACTTCACACCACATTTTGTAACGTTTGGATCATTTTTATCTTTGAGCTCAGGTTGAGTAGATTTCAGGGCAGTGAAAGAATGCAATGAAGTGAAGGGTGTATTTGAAGACTGAGGCAGCATAGTAATTCAAGAATATTCCAGTGTACTGACACATGACAGATGTTTCAATAAATATGACCAAATGGCACCACTTTTGAGGCTGACCATATGAAAAGTTCTTCTCCTTAACCTTCTTCAGTAGGCAATTGTTTTTTTCCCTAAAACTCTCACCAACAGAGACAAGCAACAGAGACAGAAGTTCAAGTGAGAGAAGTGACTGGAAGACCTACCTAAGAAGGTAATTGACCCAGATGATATTCTTCTCACTTGCATTCTTGGCATTGACAGCTATGGTTGCACTAGACTGTATCCAGATATAACCTCCGTTCTTCTGCATCCAGCGGTAATACTTGGTTACGCATTGACCCTTATTCAGCACTGGCAAAAAAAAAAAAAAACGAAACAAAATGGAAGCAAGATACAGTGCATGTTAGAACTGTGGTAAAATGATCTTCATTGTACAACATGCCACAAGTATAAGCAGAAGATACTTGGCTTCCTTTAGGTTTAATGCAGCATGCCAGTGAGATGACAAACCGGATCTGAAGTTTAGTATAACTAGCTGTGTGTTTTACAAGTTTTTAAAGTACAATTTTAATCTGTTCTTGGAAACTCTAGTGGAAGAAGAAAAGTAAAAAGAACTACAAATCTCTTTGGTTCACAGAATACTTATTTCTGTGTGGACATTTCCAATGCGCTCAATGTCAAACCGTAAAAAAAGAAAAGGAAAAAAAAAAAGAGGCAAATTTATATGTGATTTATTCATAGCTCCTAGGTAGACCTCTTTGAGATTCTGGATATTTGAAAGGTTTGGGAAGATACTCTACCCCTGCTGCTTTGATCATTTCTCCTTATTGCAGGCAATATCAACCACTGAACTTATACATCTGTTTCTTTGATCTTGTCAAACAGAATTTACAGTTCTCAGATGAACCAAATCTCCACTGGTCAGTGGGGGGAAAGTCTTGTGAGAATTTACTTTCTACGAGAGCAAAGTAAATCCACCAACAGACTGAGAGAGAGGCCTAAGGGAGGCACAGAACGGCTTGGTTAGAGCCAAAGAGTGACAGCTCTCTCCAATGTTTGAAATGTGCTAGGAAACAGAGAAACAAGTAAAAGCAATCAGTAATGTGAAACAGTGTTATTAAATGCTTACAGCAAGAAAGCTTAAAAATACAGATGTTTAAAGTTTAAAAATATTTCAGTCAAAAGATCGCCAATTTGAAACAGATTTGGTTTGTATCTGATAGTTCAGTGTCAGGAGAAGGGGATGAAATGCCAATCTTCAGTGGAAGGGAGCAGCATGGTTTTAAGTAAAATCTAAACTATGCAAAATCTGGGCAGTATTGTTACTTGAGCACTCACTCTCCTCTGCATTTCTCACTAATCTCATAAAGCTTTGTGCACTAGAGGGCAGTGTGCATTCATATACACCTTCTGCTTTTGTCATGTCCTTGTCTCCGTCTGCTAAAATGAAAAACCTCTAACTGCTGTAATAAATTTGGCTAAATTAGCTGCTAAATGGTTATCTCAAGTAATATGTATTTGCATTAATCATCTTGCTCTAAACCAGAACAAGCCAGAGTCCTAAAGACGTAGTAAATTCATATTGTCCATTTAATTACGGCTAATAAGTGCTTCATATACAATAGTTTCATGAAGTACATTTTCATTTTTTTTTTGTAGAGGGAAAAGAAAAAAGTCACTTTGGAAAAGAATAAGTATTTAAGGCAGTTAAAGTTCCTACCATAAATGTGACAAACGACACTTTGGAGCTTTCAAGTTAACCAAATGTCTATCCCCCTAGTTATACATACGAATGTATCTATATCTAAATCCGTGTACAACAGATATCTACAGAAAATGCTATTTACAAAGGTGGCCATATAAACACAGATGCTTTCTTACCTTGGAGGGATCCCCCAATCCCTACTCCAACTACTGAATAAAAAAACGCATGTAAAAAAGTGAAATGTAAAGTGCAAGTTAGTGTAATATGAACAAATATTTGTGATCTGGGTCCTGCTGTTCTTCAGCAACCTCTAGTTAACTAGGTTTGTATCTAGCAGAGATTCGTAAGTTTCCCTAAATTTTTACTTTTCTATTCCAAGCTCTAAATATTCTGCTATTATAATTCATTGGCTTCAAAACCTCATTATACAGTAGAATAAAGATAAAATACGAACAACTGACTACCCAGCATTTCTGTCAAACCAATGTTTTAGAAAACAATCTCACATAAATTAGCCCAACTTTATCAGTTATGAAGAATAAGGGAAGAAAAGTACTGCTGTAAGTTTTGATTATGGTAGACTTTTCCATTTCAGTAAAATAGGACATTCACGTACTCTGTTTACAGCTGACAGTAAAAATGATATGCCAAAATCTGGAGTGATATTGTCTCTTTTCTGGAAATCTGAACACCCACAGGTGTGTGCAGAAACTAATAAAAACTATCTGCACTTGTATCTACTAATTATACTGTTGTCTTCTTTATAACAGTTTTTATCTGAGGAGTTTACCATGCTATACAAATACCAAAGGATGAATCCTCACAACTGCCCACATGCACATCTGAAAGTCAAGGTACCAGATGAGTCACCAGACAGTGACTGAAGAGCACACTGCAATTCTGCATAGTGATAACTATGAGGACCCAGATCCTCCAGCTCTTCCAGTTCATTTCATCCTAGACAAGTCCTTCCTCCTTCAATACCTTCTATATTGGTTGTTGCCGCACTGGAAAAGTCTGTGTCATGAGCATTAATTTTGGAACTATGGAAAAAAGGGGGAAATCAAAACCTTCTAAGTTATTTCTAAAGGAAAAGGTGCTTGCTTTTTCAAGAAAGATAATTCAGTGCATCAGAGTTGTATACAAACCATCTACAGTCAGAGTTCAGGCTCCCAAATTACTATACATCCAAAGAATATCTGAAATACTGTCTTGAAAATGAGCTTTCCATGAAGTTCATCTACCTGCAAATTCCCACTCTCTATTTGGCCAGCTCAGATATATTACCACATACACAGGATTTTCCTTCCTGCATCTGTCTAAAGCACGTTTCATATGAGAGATTTGTGGACCACACTCTGAAGGAAGTCCCACGATTCAATATAAAAATTCTCTCTGTAAAGAGATTCTCTGGCAGACCAGCTGTGCTGTGCTGCTAAATCTGGTTCTTACTTCCTTTGAGAGTGCACTAGGCACCCCTAAGCCAGTTCTGAATGCTCGTACTATAGCTTGGGAAGAAATTTCTCAATGTGATCAAAGAGAAAGAATGAAAAAAAAAATTGAAATGTTTTCTAATTTATGGTATTTTTTAAACTGTTGCCATTGCAAAGCTGAAACTTAGATGAGAATTTTGAGAAAACAAGCAAATAGAAGGACACATCAGGAAGGGAAACCTATCTGGTTTATTGATAACCTAGTGTTACCGAGTAAAGCCCAGTTTCATTTTGAAGATCTTTTTGAAGTTTGCAAGTACAAGGAGTCCATTAATAAAGTTACTGATTTAGAGAAGAAATAAAAATAAACAATTAGTCCACCCTAAGCTCTGCTTGTGAAGTTTTGTTTTGTTACTAGCAACAGACCACACATTTCAGCGCAGCATAAACTCCTGAAAAAGCAATGCCATGTGGACCACATGGTGAACTTAATCAGCAAATCCCATATTGAGAATCAGGGTTCAGCTCTGTATTTTTTACACTGAGAAATGCAAAATTTTAAATTTCTATTTGTATTACACACAGAGTTCCCAGTCTGGCAGACAACGCAGTACAGGGGAAGGTGAGACTTGTGACCACATTGGTGGCGTGGCTCATGTGACTGAAGCAACACAGGATTATGCAGGATTGGGCCATATAATTATATATATACATACACACACATATATAAATCCTTTAATCAAAGGGAATAACTGAGGGTTAATATTTTAAAACTGGTGACCTTTATGTTAGCTGCACAGATATATTCCCTAAAATGGTGGATGCTAAACTTGATTAAATTTGCTGAAACGTTACCTGGTTAATCAATTTGAATTCAGCATGCAAGAAATGCACAGTATATCATGCTAAGAACTCAAAAAAAAATCTCACTTATTTCTCAAAGTATGAATATATTGCTATGTACACAGTTCCCAACAGAGGGATTTCAGTTTTCCTCGGTAGCTTTGCGCACAGCAATATTCTTGTAGCAGTGGAGTGAAGGAGGGGGAGAAGAAGAAACAGTCAGTGTTCTTTGCAGGAACCTATTTCTGTTAGCAAATCAAAATAAATCAGTACAAGTTTGTCTTAAGAAATATGGTTACAAAAAGAAAAAGAACATAGTTTCTTCCTGTAAGGCTGTTCTGAGAAATCAAAGCCAAAGCTTCTAAATAGTGAGTTGTGTTTTAAAAGAAGGAAGTAGCTTAATTCAGTTTGAAGAGGAGATAAAGAAATTGTGTATCAAAAGCAGTCTTTTAGCAAAGTCTCTTACAAAAGGACATTTTACTCATGTGCGTATGCATTTAAAAGCTACACTATATTGCGTATTCAGGTAAGTATTGAGTAAATAGGAAATGATGAGATCATCTTACATATTCACACAGCTTCACAAAGAGGCTCTTTATAATTGGTGAAAATATTGAGGTTACATCTGCTGTGCTATTCACCCTTCTCCTTGAAATATCTTTATCAATGACTGGATGGTATTGATACTGAATTCCCCTTGCGATAAACTTATAAGAGTATTTTTAATTTACTGCATAAGGATGAAAATGCCATACTTAATACCATGGTCGGCTACTTAGCTGCAGCCACAAGTACTCTTTCTACATTCACAAAACCGGCAGACGAAACATGAAAAGGAATACTGACTCTTTAATCTCCACTTCTCCACCTAAGGCCCAAGGCAAACTGACAGGGTAACTTCATTCTGGAAACAGAGGGGTTTTTTTATTTTTTTAATTCTGGATTACTTTTTCTTCTGCTTTTGAAAACTGTGGGCTATAGGGGAATGAACCTGGCATAGACTTAAAACATGAACAAGTTTCTTTATCTGAAAAGTTACAGTCCTTGATGCTTACAGGAAGGTCATTTTCAAAACCCACAGGAAAAATAGCATCACAGCCAGAAAGAGTGCATTAAGTGCCTTATTTGCTGGTAACAGAGACAGTTTTCCATTTATAACAGCTCTGAGGATCAAGTGAGCCTTTGATGTTGTAAGGACTTTTCTATAGATTTTGCAATTAGTGAGTTAGATTTTTTAAATAGAAGGTAGCTACAAATTAGATTTTAGCAATGAAAAAAAAGTGCTGAGCAATATTTAGCAATGTTAAATGATGTTTGTTACTTAAACAGAATTACAAGGTAGATGACAGGAGACTTGTAGACTTTCGATG